TTTCATTATTGGGTGAACTTGGGTGATAAAACGGTATCGATATTTATCGACGGTACACCTTCTTCGATTACGATATAAAAAATGTTCGATATAGTTTACGATATAGGCACGTGCTCTCAGTAACGCAGACATTATATCGTTGATTAATTTTTTAGCTATATCGCCCAGTCCTAGGTGAACAATCCCTTTAAGAGAAATGCCACAAAATTTTGCAGAGCAATCAAACCCTCAGCTTGTCTGGCTTGTGAGGGTGATAAACAACATCTCCATCAGATATTAAAGGAGCTATCTTTATGGAACATTTCTTCCATAAAGGCCTTATACTTTTCATAACACTGTCGGTTTCACTTCAGCTTCTTAGGAAGTGAAGGAGGACTGCTGCTCTTGAAAGGAAGGGGCAATAGAAATCATCACTAAGAAGGTGTATAAAGCAGACATCTTCCTGGGACACATATTTGTCCTCGTAACCCTTCTCATTAAATTCTGACTCTGATGGCTTTAAAACATCATTAGCTGATGGAACTGACATCTCTTTCACTGAGACTCGATGAACGAAACTTTGACTTCCTTGTCTATCCAGGTGGGGATCACAAACAGCCCAGCTCTGTTTTCTCTGCAAAAGGCTCATTTTCATTGCTGATAATGACCTCTAAGGGATCCAACGCTGAAGGACAATCATACCCAATCAATATATCACAGCTCTGGAGTGGTGGCAACTCATTGGCTATGTGCTTAAAGTGAGGCCTCTGTAACGCAGTTTTTCTGGTTGGAATATGAGCTTTGTCCACAGGAATAACATGTATAGGCTTGCTGTACTTGGATACATTTTCCACCTTGGAGTCCTCGAACTCGCAGGCTATTAACCTTATTACTTGTAGTGACTGTATCTGTGGTCTCAGCTTCACTGCTTGCTCATCAAGAAAAAAAATTCTAAATATAAGTTGCGTCACTCTGTGTAACGAGTAAAGCATAGGTAAGAATCTCATTTTGTGGCTCCTCCACTGTTGAAATAAAGACAGGAACTATACTAGAGGTAGCAGAGGCATGTTGTGCTACTGCATGAGACATAACCGTTTGAACTTCTTGATTTGTGTGCACTTCTGTAGGAGTAAAATCTATTCTTAATACCTTCACAGGCCCTTTGTCTTTATCTTCGTGCAAGCAAGTTGGATGGCGCAGGCCACATGTGCCACAAAAATGCCGTCTTTTGTAGTCTTTGCAATTATCTTCTTTGACATCCAAAACAATATGAAAATATGCCCCTTTTTTGTCATCCACAGGCTTTTCTGCAAAGATAGGACATTTAGCGATAGCTATGTGCTTCACTCTTACAAACAGAACACGGTGATGTTATCTTGAACTCTAGCCTTGTTGAATCTTTAACTTGAGACTTTATGTTGAAAGCTTTGGCTCTTTTGGGAAATCTCTCATCTGAAACCCTTATAGAACTCGTTAGAAGAGGAGAAGTGAAAGGATTGCAAGTTATCTTAGATTCCTTCTGCAAGAACTCTGCAAATCACTCAAAGCTCGTTACCCAAGGTTGCGGGTTCGAGTCTCGTACCGGCAGGGATTGTAGGTGGGGGGAGTGAATGTACAGCGCTCTCTTCCACCTTCAATACCACGACTGAGGTGCCCTTGAGCAAGACACCAAACCCCCTAACTGCTCTCCGGGTGCCGCAGCAAACAAACGGCTGCCCACTGCTCCGGGTGTGTGTTCACGGTGTGTGTGTTCACTGCTGTGTGTGTGCACTTTGGATGGGATAAATGCAGAGCACTAATTCCGAGTATGGGTCACCATACTTGGCCACATGTCACGTCACTTTAAAACTTTAAAAAGCTTGGATAGTCACCAGACATGTCCAGCTCTTCAACCACAACTTTGTTCCATTCGCATACAATCCACAAATTTCTTAAGTAGTTTATAGTTTTCCTCAGCCGTTCAAAATAGCCAAACCCTTGACATGTGGAATAGCCTCAACACAGCCTTGTAAGAAATCAGTGAGCCCTCGCAAGGAAAGTGAATCATTTTCTCCCACCTTAGGCCATCTCATAAGTTTTTCTCGAAAGGCTCGCTGAACAATAAATGAATTTCCATACCTGTCCTTCAGAGTTCCTATAAAAGAAGCTTTGCGAGCTTCTCCAGTTTTCAAGTTAAACATCTTCTCACTCGCTGGAATTGATTCACGATCAATAAGTGCTGTGAAAGACATTTTCCAATCTTCATCTTCAAGATTGTTCTCACACTACAATTGTAGGCCTTCACTCGAGCTGCGGCTACCTTAAAGGAACACTCCACTATTTTTGAAAATAGACTTATTTTCCAACTCCTCTAGAGTTAAACAGTTGAGTTTTACCGTTTTCGAATCCATTCAGCCGATCTCCGGGTCTGGCGGTAGCACTTTTAGCTTAGCTTAGCATAGATCATTGAATCTGATTAGAACGTTAGCGTTAGATATTACGCAGCACCTGAAAATAGGCTAACTTCCATCAACATAACCAACATGACCACCTGCTTGCACAGGGAGCATGCTGGGGACTATTTTCAGGTGCTGCGTAATATCATTACGCCGGAATGAGAGTATAGTTCCTAGCCATATCAGCCTAGAAAATTGCAACTTTTCATTTTCCGTCGGTCTTGGTACACGATGTAACTACAGAAGAGTCAAGTTTTAAATAGGAAAAATATAGAAACTCTTTGGTCATTTTTGAGCGAGATGCTAACGGTCTAATCAGATTCAATGATCTATGCTAAGCTAAGCTAAAAGTGCTACCGCCAGACCCGGAGATCGGCTGAATGGATTCGAAAACGGTAAAACTCAACCGTTTAACTCTAGGGGAGTTGGAAAATGAGCCTATTTTCAAAAATAGTGGAGTGTTCCTTTAACTTCTGTATCTGCAGCTTTGTCCTTTCTTCCTCTAGTCTTAGGCACATCTCTATTTCTTTCTGTTTTATCTCTGCTGGCATTCTCGCTTCATTCAGCTTCCAGTCATTCTCCATCTTAAGTAATCGGGCTGGCTGATTGTGAATTTCTCGCATAGCCTTCGCTCGCTCAACTTTGGCTGCGAGTTCTGCTTCTGCGTCGACTCGCTTACTGGAAGCTTTGGAGGAGGTATTTGATGTGTTGATAGGCTTTCTGAAGTCTGCCATGATTCTGTGATGATAGTCTCTGCATTGGTGCAGCCAACTCATCTTTATTTAATAGCTATCTGCCTTACTCTCTCTTTCACAACTTCTTTCTTATGGACAGAGGCGTAACGTACCTGAAAACCATACTTGAGTAAAAGTACAGGTAGGTACATAAAATAAATAAACATGAGGATGAATAGGCTAAATGATGACAATTTTCATTTTTGGTTGAACTATCCCTTTAAGAGCGCTTGAAACTCACCTCACAAACCTCCTGGCTATTATTTCTGTCTAATCACTGTTATTATATCACACACAATTCACTGCATGCATTTAATAAATAACAAATGGCGTAATTAATGTCATAGCTATTTATTTTTTCTCACCTCTTAGGTCTAAATTCGTCCTGATTCACTGTCGTAAAACTCACATTCACATTCTGTTGGTAGTTCAGAAACATGTGAAAAATGAATCTGAAGTACTGTACAAATTAAGTAAAAACATGTTTAGACAACTTACACTGCTGCTTGTATATGCTGCTTGTGCCTAATATTAAAATATTATGATTTATTTATTTATACACACTCATGTGGTTTAAAGTGATACATGTTTGGATCAAAAGTCGCAAGAATACACAAAACGTCATACAGTTGCTTTAACCATGCACTACTTGCTCTGTGCATGAACTAGAAATCATTTTCTTAAAATAATAATGTTAAAAAAGTTGTGTAATTAATGCAGAAAAAGTATTTATTAAATTATGGCAGCATTAATAAAAGTTCACATACATTTATACATACAAATAACACAAAACTGATGCATTCCAACAGATTTCAAAAGACTGATTAAAAATATTAAAATTAACTCCGAGTTTGTAAATAATTATTCAATATTTTCAAGCAAACAAAACATTGCGTTGTACATTGTGCAAGAATAAAAAAAACTTCTTAACTGCCAATTTTTTCCTTATATTGTTGGTTAAGAAAAAAAGGTAATAATATTTTGTATTCCCAAAATAAATGAAAATAAAATAAAATAATTCCTTAAGTATGTTTTTAAGACAAAACAAGACAAATTCTTCTAAATAATCTTCTTTAAAATCATGGTAAATAACTTCTTAAAGTTAGGATAGCCTCCAATGTGTATTAAATCCCCAAAGGTGAGATGTTTTATGAATTTATTGGGTTGCTTCAGATTAATTGTTGTAATTAAGTATTACATCATAACACTACTATGTGCACAAATTCTCTGAAGTGACAACAATCATTTAATAAATCATTGAATACATTTATAAATCATTTATTAAATGATTTAATAAAGTGTTATGAATAATCAAATAATGTAAACAATGTCTGGTCACAATGATGTGTGATGTGACTTTGCTGAATTTGAAATTCACTAGTAACTCTACAAAAACAAGTCATACAGGGAGCTCGCCAAAGCCTGTAATTTTCTTCTTAAGAATTGAACATAGAATATATTTATCTTTTAAAAAAATTATAAATTATTATTATTAAAAATTATATTATATATATATAAAACATAATTTGCCTTAAAAATAAATGTATTTAAATAGTTCATATATTTATTTAATTTTTTTATTAAAAATAAATGTATTAAACATTAAATAAATAGTTTAAAATATTTATAAATTATTTTTTACCCTATTTCCTGTTGGGTCTTTCATCATCTTAAGACAATATACTGTATATATATATATATATATATATTCTCACACATATTGCATATTATCTATTATTTATTACAAGATTTGTATTTAAAAAATAAATGTATTCAAAAATTTTAGATTTTATTTTAAAAACAAATTAATAAAATGCATTAAAATATTCATAAATTAGTAATCTTTGCCCTCTTTAATGTTAAGCCTGTCATTTTCTTACAGAAAAAAAATAAGATGTTCTAAAAAAAATTATTGAGAATCGCGAACATTCTTACAAATATATCTTAAGAAATTTCTTAGCTTCTTTAATTAATTAATTTCTTAATTTCTTAACTTCTTCTCATGAATCCAGCCCCTGGACCTGAGATGCATCTCTTGCATCAAACAAGTAAACCCTGATATTGAAACGATGCCTTCCACGATCTACTCCTCGAACTCTTCTGACAGGACGACGCAACAGGCATCTGATATCGCACTCGTTTCCAGAACCTGGAGTTGGGTGAGGATTCGCCGTCTCTCCACAGTAAAGGTGAATTCTTACAGAGCAGATGCTGCAGTCCGAGAGGCAGATGTGTGTAGTCCCGCATCTGTCCCAGCTGGATGAGGATCACGCCGGTTGCTCCCTGGACCAGAGCCTGATGGAGCCCTACCTGCAGATCATACGCTTCAGGAGAAACGCTGCTTTTATCTGTACTTGCTCCTGATGTTAAAATGATGATGAGTCTCCGGCTGAGCTGGATCTCTGTTTCAATCAGGTTAATGCAGTCTGGTGAAGATACAGGAAGAGATGACGGTGAGAAACATACATTATATGACGTATCAAACATGAATTTGTATTGATAAGTAAAGAAGAGTACCTTCTCCAGGCAGGTCATCTCTGCCGTGAATAAAAAGTTTAAAGCCGTAGTAGCTTTCCAGCACCGTTAGCAGAGATCCACTGACAAAGTCACTTACAGTTTTGCTTGTCATCTCATTCAAGTTGTTTCTCTGGTAAATCACATAAGCATCGTACAGTTTCCCATCTGTCAAAATAAGATGGTAATATACATACATGTAATATACATACAGTAACTTCATTTTTGATTAGTAATATGCATTGCTAAGAACTTCATTTGAACAACTTTAAAGATGATTTTCTCAATATTTAGATTTTTTTGCACCCTCAGATTCCAGATTTTCAAATAGTTGTATCTTTATTCAGTTCTCAGATGATGTATAAATCTCAATTAAAAAAAATTGACCCTTATGACTGGTTTTGTGCTCCAGGGTCACACACACACACACATACACACACACACACATACACACACACACACATACACACACACACACATACACACACACACACATACACACACACACACATACACACACACACACATACACACACACACACATACACACACACACACATACACACACACACACATACACACACACACACATACACACACACACACATACACACACACACACATACACACACACACACATACACACACACACACATACACACACACACACATACACACACACACACATACACACACACACACATACACACACACACACATACACACACACACACATACACACACACACACATACACACACACACACATACACACACACACACATACACACACACACACATACACACACACACACATACACACACACACACACACACACACACACACACACACACAATATGGAGATATTTTAGATGTACAGTATATAAACAATATTTATTTATTATATATTTTAATACTTTAATAAATCATATTTTAATGTATATACTTTTTCAAATATGATCTATTATTTATTGAAATGTATTCAAACAGTTATGAAATATTATTCGTTACCCTCTTTCCTGTAGAGCTTGACAAAAATTTGCCTTAAGAACAGCACCAGATCCAATGCAAACCACTTCAGTACTCCACCGACCAGCAGCAAAACAAGAAACGTGCAAATGCATGCCAGAATCACACAGAACACCGATGCTAAAATAAAACATGACATAATGCAAACCTCAATGAAACAACAGCGCCACAAAACAAGGCTTTGACTTTTAGTTACGATTTATACTAATATTAAAATATCACAATGATAAAATGGAATAAAACAAATGTAAAAATGTTAATACAAATATTAATATTAAAATAGAAGTCTTTATGAAATGTTGTTTATCCAAGTATTAACTTTGCTTACTAAGCAAGACACACTACTCACAAAATTCAATATACATAAAAATACATATTTTGGGGTATAATAATGCAGTTTTAATTAGACTGAACTATATTCATATATGGGATGATAGGATCTCACCTCGACTCTTCAAAGTGACTGACACAAAAATCACTTCGACAGAGTCTTCAGCTTTGCAGGCAAACTCAGAACGGAGGTCCGACTCAGAAACTTCAGTGATGGTCAAAACTGACTGAACGGTGCCATCCATCCTTCTGGAGAAAAACAACACTGAGTATCTGGATCTGTGTCATAGCATTTCTGCTCATATCAGAGATACTACAAGTACTAGAGCAGAAGATCAGCTGGGTTTAGTGTAAATATGTCTAACTATTTTGTGCCCAACTTTTCTGAAAATGTAGTTTAACTCCTGTATTATTAGGTAGTTTGTAGAAGATTTTCACCTGTATTTCTGCTCATATCCATTTAACCCACTCGGCCTGATCCCATTTATCTCCCAGTGAATAGAGCACTGGTCACACACAGTCAGTCCAAAGAAGACCGAGCAATTAAGGATCACTTCTGAACCTGAGAAACAAGAGCAATCAAGGCTTTCAGACATTACATCTTTCCAGAGTTCACTATGAAAACATGCTGACATTTTGGTGCATAAAAAAACAACAACAAAAATACTGGTTAACCCAAGAGGTTTTTTCTTGAAATTGTGTGTCTATTTCTCATGAACATGCCTGCAAAGTTTCAACTCTCGGACGTGTTGTGGATTTGAGGGTATTTACATTCGTATATTCATGCATTTGGCAGACACTTTTATTTGAAGAAATTATGCATGCAAATTTAGCTAGGAATCAAACAATAATCTTGGTGTTGCTAGCGCCATACTCTACTGTTTGAACTTCAGGCAAGTAGACAAAAATTAAAAATGTAATTAATAGAAATATGTTTTGAAAATATTTCATAATACTTAAAAAAAAAAAAAAAAAAAAAAAAAAAAAAAAAAAAGAAACACATTCTCATGTTTAATTTTTTTTTTTTTTTAGAAACGTGCGAGACATTTTTGTTGTGTGAATTTTTGGTGAATTATATTGAATACAAATCAGGGTGAATTTGATCCTGTGCAACTGTAAAAAAAAAAAAAATCTGTGACATTTACGGTAAAATACCGGCAGCTGCGGTTGCCAGAACTTCACCGTAAAAAATAGGGTAGCAACGTTTTAGGTTTTACAGACTTGACTGAAATTCACAATAAAATACCGTATTTCATTAACTGATGTAATGTTAATAAACCAACATATTGAAGTACTAATATCTGTTCTGAACCACTGTAATGCACTGATAACCACCAAAAACTGCTGGTGATGAGAAAGTCACACGATGAACCAAAGCTCATCACAAACAGCTTTTCTACGAGCTGAGGAGGACAATACTTATATATAGAAGGTGCACAGTCTCATTCACACAAACACTAAACACCATCACGGTGACACACATGATACTGAAATAATGCAATAAACATTGATTTAACAACATTAGATGTAAGATTAAACCCTAATGAACACAACTGATAAGAAGAAAATAAGAAGAAACATGTTATTTCAACAAAAAAACATCAAATATGAAGTGTCATGCCGGGAATTCTGGGAGTGTCAATTTACGGTTTTTCACTGTAAATTATACAATGACTTTTTCTTTTTAACAGTATTTTACTGTAAAATTACATTAAATGTAATTACATTTATTCACTGAATATAGTATGGAAACTTACTGTTAACCAGTTAACAGGTTTTTACTGTAGCATTTTTACAGTCTTTTACTGTTAAAATCACAATCATTTTTACAGTGTATATAACAATTGATTTGTAAACAGAATTTTAACATAATAAATGCGTTAAGAAAGAAAAAATGAAAAAACATTATTTGAAGAATTGCGTGCTGTGTTGAAGATGTACATTTGTATAATCTTGCATTGTTCATGTGGGAATCTAACCCATGATCTTGGTGTTGCGAGCGCCATACTCTACAGTTCAAACTTTAGGAAAGTGCACATAAAAAAAATCTACATTTCAAAAATATTTTCAAAACGCTGTTTATAATATTCACATTTTGTGAAATAAAAAAATTGATTAAAAATAATTTGTTCTCATGTTTATTTTTTTGAAATGTCTGAGAAGCAGCCAACTTTTTTTTACATGCTTTTTATAGTGTTATTTCTGGTTGTACAGAATTGTACAGAATCCAATTCAGGTGGCAAATACAATGTTTACATTTTTAGCAGGGAAAAATAAGAGAAAATAAAGCAGCACTATGATGGTAATTGATTTGAATGTGTTTCCTCACCCACATCAGTGAACACAACGGAGTTATTGATGGGCAGCAGAAACTTTGGAGGACTGCTGATGGTCTGTTCTATGAACAAGAGGAAGATGGTGTTAGAAAATGTCATCTATCAGGTGAACCACAGTCCAGTGATGAATCTACCTTTGATGATCAGTCTGCGAGATCCAGAGGAGTTGTGTTTTATCCCGTGATGCTCCCACGTGCAAACACAGGTGTAAATGCCCTCGCTTTCTTTTGAAGAGTTAGGAATACGTAAAACACGAGCAGACTCTTGGTTTGGAATAAGAACGAAATTCTGCCAAAAAAGAAAGCAACCTTTGATGGAGTAGATGTAAACATTACAGTCTAATTCACACTTTGCACAATTAGTTAATCGCATTTCAATTGTTCAATATGAAAATAATTTCATATGCAAATATCACAGCAGTGGATAATCGCAAAAATAGCCTAATAATCGCACATTTTTATGTCACAATTCTTTTCTTCCTCAGAATTACGGGATGTACACAGAATTGCAAGATATCAACTTTTTCTCACAATTCTGAGTTTATATCTCACATTTTTTATTTAATTTTTTTATATTTTATTTTGTTTTGTTTCTGTCGCAGAATAAAAAACTAAAAGAGGTATTTGTATTGGCGATTTAGTTTTCAGAATTTTTAATTCTGACTTTTTTCTTGAAATTTGCAAGTTTATATCTCACAATTATTTTTTTCTTTGTTTTTTCTTACAATTGCGTGTCTTACAAATCTGACTTTTTCCCCTCACAAGTTTGAGTTAATGTCTTGCAATTCAGATTTTTCTTGTTGCAAATTTAATTTTTTTTGTTGCAATTTCTAGATTTTTTTTTTCTCAGAATTGTGCTACGGAAAAAAGTCAGGATTATAAAATAAAAAGTCGCAATTGCCTTTTTAAAATTTTTTTTTTATCCCAATCCAGAAACACGCTTTCATACACTTTAAGGTATATTATAAAGTAAAAAAATGCAATTCATGACCCCTTTAAGTACACTGAAAAAAAAACCGTGGTGCAGGATTTATTTTAAAAGGTTTTTCATTCAGAAATTGATAGTAAATTTCACAAAATTGGTATTTTTGTATTTATTCATTTTTTTTGTATTGTTGTCTAATTTAATTCAATGTTATCATTCAGTAAGTGTTTAGCAATATGAGTGAACAGTTGAATTTTATATAACTGAATTACACATAACATTTGCGGTTTTGCTTCAGTCAACATGAAATTCTTCTTCTGTGATATGAAATATTTCCAAGTAAACAGGAAATTCTTCTTGTGTAACATCATTGATCTGATCTAATGTTGAGTAATCAGCGTCTCTCTCTCTCTCTTTTGTGACTCACACACTGTGAGTGCACATGCAGTCAAATGTACTGAACATCCACCCAAACAGACCTTATACCAGACGATCGAGCCCTGCTGATTTTCACACACGGGACAGTAGATTCCCGACACCTTCTGTTCGGGCATTGTGTAGTACAAGAGATCCGTGCTGAACTCCTCATAAACCACAACTTCAGTTTCAAATTCACCACACTCATCCTCTGCATACCACCTACAGGACAACACACACATTCATATCAGCTCATGTTGATTACAACAGAAAATCGCTACTGTTCAAATGTTTGGGGTCAGTATGATTGTTTTTGTTTTTTTTAATTCAGCAAGAAAGCATTCAATTATTAAAAAGTGACAGTAAAGGCATTTATAATGTTATATAAAATATTTCTATTTCAAATAAATGCTGTTCTTTTGAACTTTCTATTCATCAAAGAATCCTGAAAAGTAAAATGTATCACGGTTTCTGCAAAATATGAAGCAGCACGACTGTTTTCAACGTTGATAATAATCAGAAATGTTGCTTGAGCAGCAAATCAGCATATTAGAATGATTTCTGAAGATCATGTGACACTGAAGACTGGAGTAATGATGCTGAAAATACAGCTGCGCATCACAGAAATACATTACAGTTTACAATATATTCAAATAGCAAACAGCTATTTTGTATTTCACAATTTTTACTGTATTTTTGATCGAGTACATGCACCCTTGGAGAGCTGAAGATACTTTTCTCAAAAACATAAAAAAATGTACCAACCCCAAATTTTTAAATGCTATTGCACATGAATTAAGTAAAAATTCATTCTTTTTTTTTTAGGTGTGACTACTTTTTTAGTTCTCGAAATGTTGATATAACATGCATTTAAAGGGACAGTACACCGAAAAATTTAAATCCTCTCATCATTTACTCATCCTCATGATGCGCCAAATGTATGACTTTCTTTCTTCTGTAAAACACAAAATAATAAACTTCAAACTTGGGTTTGTTACTATAACCTATTATATGACTTCAGAAGATGTGGAGTGTTGTTCTTGAGTCACATGCATTACTTTATGATGAGCATTTTCAAAATATTTCCTTCTGTATTTAATGAATGCATGTCATACAGGTTTGGAACAACACGGATGTGCATTGAGAGCTGAATGGATGTGTGTGATCACCAGCGTGTGATGTATCGTCCCGTGTCGTTCAGGTTTAACCAGAGGATGTATAAAACAGACTGGTTGTAATGGACACGCTCGCTCTCCTCCGTCCCGATCCGCTCCACCTGCTTTGTTCTGCTGAGGTTTCTAAACCAAACATACGAGCTGTTTTCAGTCTCTTCATAGCACTGGAGATTCGGACAGGGCAGATATATGGATTCTCCAGCTCTCACTCGCCGTGTCGTCTTTGCATCGGGTCTTTCACACTGAACTGATAAAAAACAGACACATGAGTTTCAGTCCAGCTGTTGTGTCGATGTCTGAATGGCATGTCGTTTTACTGTACCACCCAAACAGTTTAGACAAAATCATTTTTCCTTTCCAACCAAAAAGCATCCCAGCATCCCCTTTTAACCTAAAATCCATTTCTCAACAACCCAAATATCTGTTTGTAAAAACTTACGTGAATTTAACAGTAAAAGACTGTAAAAATGCTACAGTAATAACCTGGTAAATGGTTAACAGTAAATTCCCCTACTGTATACGGTGAAAAACTGTATTGGACATTACATGTATTGGACATTAATTTTACGGTAGTATACCGTTTTTGGAAGTGAAAAAGACTTGTATAATTTACAGTGAATAACCGTAAATTGACATTCCCAGAATTCCCTGCGTTACATTTAAAATGTAATGTTTTTTGTTGAAATAACTATGTTTCTATTTAGTTTTTCTTATCAGTTTTGTATTTTAGGGTTGTGTGTTACACCTAATGTTGTTAAATTAATGTTTATTGCATTATTTCAGTTTCACATGTGTTACCGTGATGTGTTTAGTGTTTGTGTGAATGACACACTGTGCACCTTCTAAATATGTTATTATTTAAAAGCTGCTTCTGATGGGCTTTGGTTCATCATGTGACTTTCTCATCACCTCCTGCATTTGGTGGTTATCAGTGTATTACAAAGGTACAAAACAGATTTCAGTACTTCAATAGGTTGGTATATTAACATTATGTCAGTTAATGACATTACGGTATTTAACTGTAAATTTAAGTTAAAATCGTAAAACCTAAAACTTTGCTACCATAGTTTTTACGGTAAAATTCCGGCAAGCACAGCTGGCGTTTTTTTACAGTAAATTTTACGGAATTTTTTTTACAGTATATGCTAATGTGAGATTTTCATGCATATGAAGATACCAGAACAGATTCAGTCAGGAGCAAAATTATCTGACGTAAGTGAATGCTTTTGAATATTCAGTTCAGTAATAAATAAATAAATAAAAATAATTTTTTGGACAAAATCAAATTTTTTTCCAGACTAAAAAGTATCTCAGCATCTTATTTTAATCTAAAATGTGTCCTTCTTCAACAATACAAATATACTTTTTTTTTTTAAATAAATAAATGAATAATGTTTATTAACTATTATTTTATTTTTGGACAAGATTTTTTCCAGACTAAAAAGTATCTCAGCATCTACTTTTTTAATCTAAAATTTGTCCTTTTGTCAACAGTACAAATATCTATTTTTTTTTATTAATCTAAAATGTGTCCTTCTTCAACAATACAAATATACTTTTTTTTTTTTAAATAAATAAATGAATAATGTTTATTAACTATTATTTTATTTTTGGACAAGATTTTTTCCAGACTAAAAAGTATCTCAGCATCTACTTTTTTAATCTAAAATTTGTCCTTTTGTCAACAGTACAAATATCTATTTTTTTTTTAAATAATAAATGAATAAAAACATGTTTATTAATTAGTTTATTTTCGGACAAACGATAACTATTTTTAACCTTAAAATCAGTCTATTCGCAAAAAAACCCAAATATATATATTTTTTATAACAAATATGCTGATATGAAGTTAGCTGATGAGTTTATGTCATATGAAGACACCAGATCAGATTCAGTCAAGAGCAAAATTATCTGAATTCACATGAATATTCAAATGCATTTTAGTTCAATAATCCCTTAAAATAAATAAATAAATAGGTCAAATAATTTTATTTCATCTCAGCATCTACTTTTATGAAAAATCCCTCCACTTACAAACAACCCTAATATCTATTAAAAAAGTGCAAATAAATGAATAAAGAGGTCAAAATGTACTTTTGGACAAAATAGTTTTTCTTTGCTGAACAAAAAAAAAACATCTCAGCATCTCATTTTAATTTCTGTTTTATAAATCAATCAGTCATATCATTTTTATAATGTGCTAATATGAAGTTCATCTTACCTGTGGAGTTTAATGCGTATGAAGAGACCAGAACAGATTCAGTCAGGAGCAAAATGATCTGTAACATCATCATCATCATCCCTGCAAAGCATATAATCTCAAAGTTTAAAAGGTAAAACTTCAGTTTATATCTATTTGACCATAATTCAGCACCATATTACTGACTCTAAAAGAAAAGAAGGTGAGGTACCTTTATGTCTGCATGTGTAACGGGCTCCGGATGTGTTCAAGTGATGCTGATGACTGACGTTATTTCAGTTATTTGCAACTGGTGTGATACGAGAAGACGAAAGAGGATCTATCGCAATTTACTCAACTCTTCTATCACATAATCTTCACTTTATCTCTCATTCTTGACCTTCTGCTTTAGAAAACAGGATATCATCAGAAGAGATTAACTAGTTTTAACCGGTTTAAAATTCATAAAATGCTAAAAAGGTTTACATTTTGGGCCTTTTGGAGCAAAATCAATAACTACTTTTCATTACATTAATATTTCTGCATGTGGCAAATGCTTTTATCCAAAGCAACATTGCATTCAAGGCTTCATTAAAGGCTTTAAGTTTGATAACCCCTTCAAAAACATAATAATAATAATAATACAAATGAAATAAAAATACATAAATGCATACACAAAACAAATGTATAAATAAAGAAATTGATAAATGTCAATAAATAAAACAATACCTCCCCACCCCCAAACATGAATTTTATTTTAGAGTATCTGTTTGTTTTAATCAAATCCAGTCTGTCCTGGTTCTATTTGTACAGATTCACAGGAATGATCACAGGAGACCAGAATCAGAATCAACTTTATTCACCAAATGGTGCAAACAAACAAGGATTGTGTGTGTGTGTGTGTGTGTGTGTGTGTGTAGGGGTGTGCGATAGTGACAAAAAATGATATCTCGATATTTTCGGGGATAAATGTCAATAAATAAAACAATACCTCCCCACCCCCAAACATGAATTTTATTTTAGAGTATCTGTTTGTTTTAATCAAATCCAGTCTGTCCTGGTTCTATTTGTACAGATTCACAGGAATGATCACAGGAGACCAGAATCAGAATCAACTTTATTCACCAAATGGTGCTCCAAAAATGGGGCAAACAAACAAAGTGTGTGTGTGTGTGTGTGTGTGTGTGTGTGTGTGTGTGTGTGTGTAGGGGTGTGCGATAGTGACAAAAAATGATATTTCGATATTTTCGGGGATTTTATCGATAACGATAATTAGACGATATTTTGCTGAGTGTGTTATTGTGCTGGTACCTTAAGGACTGCCGAAGACAGCTGACTCCTAATGTTTTTAATATTCTTCATATTCTGTGTGGTGGTCAGTTCATACTGATAGAAATTAATCTTTTCCAATAAGTTTAAACTGATTTTTGCATTTTATGGGCATTTTTACCTTTTTAAAAACATTTTTTCTAAAAGTGTCTATTATCTTTTGAGTCAAATTCTTACATTTAATCAGGGAATTAGAATAATAAGACATTTGGCCTGTTACCGAGCAAATTAAATCAACACAGAAGCTGCAGCTGAAGTGGCATTTAGATGCATTTACACTCATGTATTGTGTTTAATGCAAGACATGAATGCATTTAACCTGCAGTTACACATGCATAAATAATGTTTTGATATATTAAACATAAAACGTTGAATACTGATATTTGAAATTATTTGAAACATGAAAAAAAAAATCAAAAAAGAAAGAAAAAGCCGAAATTTGAAATTAAAACCGGCAGGTGGCTCTTAATAAGTGAGTCATTGCGATTGAACCGAATAATTTAAACGGTTGATTCATTCAGGAACGAAAGACCGTCATGTTGCTCAGAGACACAAAACAGCGCTGTGGCTGTATTCGGAATGATTTTTGTTGGCGAAATAGAGCAAAAACAAGCAATATGGTGTCTAAAACGTAAGTCTATTAATTAACTTATTGTTTATTGAATTCAACATCACATTTGTAATCATGGTAATTTTTGGAGAGAACGGCACTCTTCGTGTGAAATTGAATAACTATATGAAGTGGTATAAATATATACATTTTCTGCCATCATGTCTTGAATTTGTGATCATTCTAAATGCATTTTAATAGACTGAATCATGCAGTGAAAGAACGCACACTAAATGCGCACACGCACTAGTCTAGACTTCACGTAATGTACGTGTGCACTCTGTAGGGATGTTTTGAATGGTTTTTGCAAAATACTTGATAATGTCAAATCGCACATCATTAAAACAACAATTACGATATTATCGCAGACGATATATATCACACACCCCTATGTGTGTGTGTGTGTGTGTGTGTGTGTGTGTTTTTAGGAGCTCTTGTTACATACATTCATACATGACATTGAGAACAGAAAGAACATTTAAATAAGTAAGACTAAGTAAATAAATAGTAATGTGATATACATCTGGAACAGAAGATCATTACTTGTCGAGGCAGGCATCAATATGGTTATCGTTCATAATTACACGGTTAGTGGCTAGAACAAACCCATAACCTTAACTTCAGCACTCATCACAAAATATTAGCTCCACTGACACTAATGACTCAAATCACGTGTTTTGTTGAGGAGAGTGTGCGGTGATGTATTTAACGCAACATTTAACACGGGCAACTGATTCTAGCACTCCAAATTCTATTATTTTCCCCAAAAACAGACCGTTTAGATCAGGGGCGTAGCCATCATTTCAGAAGTGAGGGGGACAGAAATGTAAAAAAAAAAATATATATATATATATAAATAAATAAAACATTACAATATAACATTTCTGTAATCTATATAACGTACCAGTCAACAGTTTTTGAACAGTAAGATTTTTAATGTTTTATAAAGAAGTCTCTTCTGTTCACCAAGCCTGCATTTATTTGATCCGAAGTACAGCAAAAGCAGTAATGTTGTGAAATATTTTTTACTATTTAAAATAACTGCTTTCTATTTGAATATATTTTAAAATGATTGCTGTGATGTGCAGCTGTATTTTCAGCATCATTACTCCAGTCTTCAGTGTCACATGATCTTCAGAAATCATTCTAATATACTGATTTGCTGCTCAAGAAACATTTTTTAATTATTATTATTATCAAAGTTTTTTTAGCAGCAAATCAGAATGATTTCTGAAGGATAGTGTGACTGGAGTAATGATGCAAAAATGAAAATCACAATAAATTACATTTTAAAATATATTCAAATAGAAAACAAACAAATAAACAACGTTATTTGAAATAGCCTAGTAAAACTATTTCAATTTTTTTTCTGTTTTGCTGTACTTCGGATCAAATAAATGCAGGCTTGGTGAACAGAAGAGACTTCTTTAAAAAACATTAAAAATCTTACTGTTCAAAAACTTTTGACTGGTTTATAGTCAACTTAAATTTTTCTCAGATTTCTAGCTTTTAATTGGCTTAGAAATCAGATAACAGCTGGACAATAACCAATAATAATGATTTGTTTTTATACTACAAACACTTTTTTATCACATAATAAGGCAGAATAGTTTCAATACTGTAATAAATGCAGTCAGTTAGCACTGCATTGTTCATATACTTTATTTATTACCTGGAGATGACTTGACAAACACAAATAAACCATATATTCTCGCAATCGTATGTTTAATGTCTTCATGTTTCCTGTTTCCAAACGTTTCTGTTTTCTGTGAAAACAGTTTTCATACAGCGATAGCTGGCCGCTTTTGTCCATGTTAGGGATTTCCTCGTACGACTTTCTGCGGGAGAGCGCCTCCGGCTTCAAGAATGAATGAAACATACTCTGCACGGAGTGTTTAGCGCTCCGCGATGTTCATCTCGCCTTATTCTGGGTCCGAATAAAACATCAGATCATGCACAGACTATCCTGTCTCTTTGAATTTAAATCTATATTTATTCACACCGGCTCTTGAAAAC